GAGAGGTTTCCTTTAAAGTTTATGTAAAATATTGCATCTGGAAAGTCCTTAGCTATGATGGCTGAATTAGTTTTCTTTTCTCAGAGCACACAGCAGGGGGCTTATTTAATACAGGCCTGTTAGAGTGGACATGGGTCACACCATTGGAGATGTTGGGGGGGGGGGGGGGGTGGCTTCCTCTGAAGGAATCTATAGAATCCTCTATAAACCCTTAATTGGACATGAATCAGCGGCTGTTGTACAAATGTGTCCATTCCCCATTTCATGTCATCCCTCTCTAGTCAAAACAGACATTCCGAATTAAACTGTATCTGAGACTAACCAGAGACAGATCTGAAGGATCAGAGATTTCAAGGTGAGCCGTTCATCCTGAAGGGGGCAGCACAGTGGTTTACTGGTTAGCACTTCTGCCTTGCAGCGCTGGGGTTCTCCATTCAAATCCCACTTTCATAGAGTTTGCATCTTTTCTCTCTGCTTGTTTCCTCCCACACTCTAATCACATGCCGATGCAGTGAGTGTTGTCACTCTAGGACAAAAATGTATTAGTAGCAGGATCATCAGGTGAAGCTATTGGGATAAAGCCTGAAAAATGAAAACTAATGCAGCTGGAACATCAAAGAATTGGAAAGCTGTAATATATTTCATTTTCCTTCTTTAAGCTGGCCACACACCTTACAATCTGATTTGGAGTTACCAATAAGCCAAGATCAGTACCAAAATGAAACTAAATCAGAGAGGGGCACAGAACAGTCGTCAGTGTAGAGACACAGCAGCTCACGGCCTGGGCATACTTTCAGGTCATGAACATTCATGTTTATAGGTGGGAGCTCTGATCTGTCATGCTGAGACTTGCAGTTCCATGGGGGATGGAAAGTTGCAGATCTTTGGGTTAGTTTGTTATTAATCTTCCCTCTCTGAGGTTGTGTCTGTGCGTAGACATAGGGTGGGGTTGGATGAAGATTGCCGAGCTCTGGATGTGATCCCGGGACCTCTGGGAATCGGCAGAGCGCGCCTCAAAACTTGGAACGGAAAGAATTGTGTGTTGTAGTAATTGCTTACACATTGTGCAGGTCCTACAGGCTTGGGTAGTGTATTACGGCTGCATTTTTTTAGGACAAGCCGATAATTGGCCGAAAACTTTCTGGGATATAGAGGCATTGCAAAGGCCAGGGACACTCGTATCTAACAAAACTCACGTTTATAGAGAAAAATATTTCCTTTAAATGTTATTTGTGTGTAATCGTCAATCTGCTGTAACAGAAAGCTGACAGCGTGATGCCATGTGGTCATCCAGAGCCAGTGTGGTGAAAGGAGACAGTATGGTGTCATGTGATCATTCAGAGGCAATGTAGTAAAAGCTGACGTGTGATCATTTAGGGCCAGTATAGTGAAAGCTGAAAGTGTGGTGTCATGTGATCATCCAGATCCAATATAGTGAAAGTTAAAAGTGTGATGTCATGTGATCATCCAGAACCAGTGTAGTGAAGGCTGACACTGTGATGTCATGTGATCATCCAGATCCAATATAGTGAAAGTTTAAAGTGTGATGTCATGTGATAATCCAGAGCCAGTGTAGTGAAAGCTGAAAGTGTGATGTCATGTGATCATCCAGGACCAGTGTAGTGAAAGCTGAAAGTGTGATGTCGTGATCATCCAGGACCAGTGTAGTGAAGACTGACACGTTGATGTCACGTGATCATCCAGATCCAATATTGTGAAAGTTAAAAGTGTGGTGTTATGTGATTATCCAGACCCAGTGTAGTGAAAGCTGAAAGTGTGGTATCATGTGATCATCCAGAATCAGTGTATTGAAAGGTGAAAGTGTGATGTCATGTGATCATCCAGGACCAGTGTAGTGAAAGCTGAAAGTGTGATGTCATGTGATCATCCAGAACCAGTGTAGTGAAAGCTGAAAGTGTGATGTCATGTGATCATCCAGGACCAGTGTAGTGAAAGCTGAAAGTGTGATGCCATGTGATCATCCAGAACCAGAGTAGGAAAGGCTGACACTGATGTCATGTGATCATCCAGATCCAATATAGTGAAAGTTTAAAGTGTGATGTCATGTGATCATCCAGATCCAATCTAGTAAAAGCTGAAAATCATGTGATCATCCAGGGCCAGTGTAGTGAAAGCTAACAGTGTGATGTGATCATCCAGGGCCAGTGATATGAAAGTGAACATTGTGATGTCATGTGATCATTAAGAGGCTATGTGTAAAAGTAGGCACTGTGATGTCATGTGATCAAGATCAAACCCCAATAGAAAAAAGGCAGACAAATGCATCTTAATCATGGATATTATATATGTGGGAGTATAAAGCCAGCACATTTCGGTGCAATGACCATGTCCCCTTCATCAGGGCTGCTTGTCTAGATCCATTGTCAATGGTCACTAAATACACTGAATAAAAATACTAGAGTTCTCATTTCAAATGTCTCCTGGAGCAGTATCCACAGTAATCTGCAGTATATTAGTCACTACTGATGTGAATGTGGTGTGTTTACTTGGTAGGCGACCTGCTGACCCTTTCATTACAAGAGAATCGGCTCATTCCTCACATTGCTGGAAGGTGCGGTCCGCAATAACAAGATGAAATTTCAGAATCCCCCCTCCGCCCTCCTGCAATCAGATCCTGAGCATGAAACATGCCAGACAGTCCGTATTTACTAAACTCAGGTCACTCATCTGTTATCACATTAGAGTACATTCTTCTTGTCTCCGGCCTCTGCTGAAGCATATTTGAGGCTCCCCATGCATGAGCAGAACTTGAGAGAGAACAGATTGCAAATCGGCTCAAGTTTTATCCAGCCTCTGCGGGCATGAACAGTCTCTGATGCCATGCCAGATTACACACCATGTGAATGCTATGGGGCCCACTGGTTACACTCACCTATGCAGGTAGCTATAGCACATACCAAATACATTTAGATATATTATATAGTTTAGGAAGGTCTATTTGATTGCTGTGGATTCATTTAGTCATTTATGCCTTGACAGTTGCCTTTTGCTCTGCCGGTGGGGAGCCTTCCCTGCTGGCAGAACACGATTAGTGTTGCCACTTATAGCCGCTGGTACTAATTGTTTGGAAAAAACCCTACAGGATGGTTGTACACAAGTCGATCAAATGGGGCACAACCAGAGTGAACATACATGGATCAAATTGATTAAGTATTCTTATATGTTCTCCCCCCTCCTCCTACACAGTGGTGTATTTAGGTTTTGTGCTGCCCTAGGCAACACAAAAATCGCCTGCCCCCACAGACATGGACCAACCCCCCATCTCCCTTCCGTGGAGAGAACCTGACATTGACCAACAACACCCTTGCCCTCCACCCGGGAGAGCCTTCCACCCCCCCCCCCCCCTCTCTGGTGATAGAGAGAAAGACACTCATCTCCACACCTTCAGAAATCCATCAAGCAGCCCGCAGCCTCTCTCAGATCCCACCTGGTTCCCATGGCACGCATGTCCCTTCTTCCATCCCTTCTTCTGAGGGAGAGGTGCTGCTGCCCCCCCGAAAAATGCCACCCTAGGCAAATGCCTTGTTTGCCTTGTGGTAAAAACACTCCTGCTCCTACCTATCCTGCATACCCTGTAAAAAAAAATTGGATCTGTGTACTCCTCTATTTTCAGTTCGGTCACGTAATCTGCAGCTCCAGTTGTCCTGTGTCAGCAGCTGCTGCAGGGGAGAGGAGGGAACACCAACAACAGCCTATGGGTGACTTCATGGTTCCCAGAATTTCCAGCGATTCTCGAGTGATTCCTTAGACAGGGGAGCCAGAGCAGCTGAATCACATAACTCAGCTGCGGGTAGGTGGTGGAATAAAAGCAGTACCTCATTGGGCTGTTTCCTTTTTTTAAAATAAACTATAATGAAATGTCACTTATTGACATTAGAAGGTGTTTTGGGTGCAGAGCTGTGTGAGGTGGTGGATTCGGATGCACTGTGCTGCACTGAAAAAAAGTGACGCCTGCTGTCGCACTGTTTTCATTTCAGTGGTGTAAACTGGCCAGGTAGGAGATAGGGCAATTTGCCTTGTATTGTGGTGGGACTGTACTGGAATAGCCGCCCAACGCAGTCCTACCGCACCTCATGTGAATGGGTCCTTAAAGCGGAGTTCCACTCACTCTGTAAAAAAATAAAAGTCAGCAGCTACAAAAACTGTAGCTGCTGCCTTTTTAAAAACAGCCACTTACCTGTCCCTCGATCCTGCCGTGTCCTCCCCGCAGCCCATTTCACCAGCCGTCCTGTATTCCAGGAGGCTGGCATCTTCAGTGTGGGCAAGCTGTCACAGCCGGGTGCCCACTGCGCATGCGCAAGTAGCTCTGCGCTTCCTGAATGGCCTCGTCGTCTTCTGGGATCTGTCACATGTCCCACAAGACTACGGGGAGGGAGGGTAGGGAGGACAACTTCTGCTTCTTCCACTTCCACTTCTAGACGAACGCAGTAGAAGTGGGAGCGGGGGTACCTGTCAATTTCGGGTACCTGCTCCCCAAAGGTGCCACTCCTTAATGGGAAGAAGCGGGGGACCAATCTTTAAAGCGGAATTTCCTCTTTTGGGTGGAACTCCACTTTAAGGATTGTTAAGCTGCAACATAAAACATTTTTTCTTTGGGTTTAATACTGCTTTTAGCAATGGAATGTAAGGTATTCTTCCAAAGGAAGTGCTCTCTTCTTTAGGATACCATTGGAGGATTTCGGTTTTCCCATCTTTATCCATTACATGACATAATGGGTAGATTGAACCCCTTTGCTTCCAAATCTCTCTGTATCTCTTGCTCTATTTTGTTTTCTTGGTTCTGTCCCAGAATATTCTCAAAGGAATGTAAAACTCTGAAGTCCTGCCTTCAATTGCAAACAAAGCTCAGATAATGGAAGTAAATGTTCTCTTCAGGGTTCTGGTGTGACCTGTGCTGAGCGCCATCTCTGTATTTGTCTCCGCAGGCTGGGGACAAGCACTATCACCCGAGCTGTGCACGATGCAGCAGATGCCACCAGATGTTCACCGAAGGAGAGGAAATGTACCTGCAAGGTGAGGCACCCCTCGTTATCTGTATACTGACTATTCTCTCATCTGTTTATGAATTCCTGTTTTATTTGTAGGATGAGCCTTCTGCCTCTTCTCTCATTTCAGCAGACAGTGCTGGCCTCCTCACATTACCTCATTTTACATTTTAATTTGGAATTAGTAGCATAAGTAAGCATAACGGGGTTGCACAGTTAAAAAAAAAAAAAAGGTTGCTCCTTTTTTCTTTTCTTTTCGTTTTTTTTTTTTCTTTTCTTTTTTCTTCCCTAACGTCCCTTCTCTCTTACTCTTTCACCCACTCCCTTCCTCCGTCCTTCACCATCTTTTTCCCTCCCTCCCTTCTTTCCTCCCTTCCTTGTTTTCCCCTCCCTTCCCTTCCTTGCTCCCTTTCCTTTTCCCTTCCTCTCCTCTCATCTCCTTTCCTTCTCCTCTTTCACCTACTCTTTCCTTCCTTCTTTCATTCTTCACGCTTTTTTTTTCCTTCCTTCGTTCCTTCCTTCCTTCCTTCCTGTCTGGAGGAAGGAAGGAAGGAAAAAAGAGCTTGAAGAATGAAAGAAGGAAGGAAGGAAGGAAGAGAGTAGGTGAAAGACTTTCCTTTCTTCCTTCCTTCCTTCCTTCCTTCCTTCCTTCCTTCCTTCCTTCCTTCTTCCTTTCTGCCTTCCTCTTTTTGCTTTGATATGAACACCGGCCATGAGCCCTAATCTTTCTGATATTTGTCCAAGTTGGGATATTGCACTTTGCTCCGGTTTATTGAATAAATACAATAGTTATCAATAAATCTGTATTAATATTGGTATGAAAAGGGATCTGGATTCCTTGCAGCTTCCTCTCCTCTCTCCCTGACATTGGTAGAAGCCCCCACAACCCTGCGCGGTCCACACTGTGTGATTCGAGCTGTCTCTGGCCTCTGTCGGTAATGATGTTTACATTGGCCCAGGAGAGGCTTTTGTTCTGCTGATAAATGTTTCGTAGTTGGCCCAGACTGCCTTCTTTTTAAGGCTTCCAATCATCTTTTATCCAGAACTTTTCCTCTGTGCAAATAGTCAGGTCACGCTATGCTTGTTACATCATGACCCTTTACATTTTATATTCTCGTTTTTCAGCTTTCTCAAGAACAGCTTGTAGATTGTAAATCTTTATTTTCCTTGTCAGTCAGAAGAAATGTTGAGAAAAACAGAACATGAACAACCTATTCAGTTTAAAGCAGAAATGCAAGGCAACACACACACACACACACGCACGCACACACACACACCTGTGAACAATGATTTCCCCCTTCCTGATTTTTTTTTTTTGCATATTTATCTCACTTAAATGATTCAGATCATCAAACAAAGACAACTCGAGTAAATGCAAAATGCAGTTTTTAAATGATGATTTGCTTTACTAAGGGAAAAAGCTGTCCAAACCTGCCTGGCCCTATGTGAAAAAGTTATTTCCCCCCCCCCCTTGCTAATCCATGAATGAACTGTGATTAACCAAATTTTTTTGAAAAGCTGAGTTGAATTTCACTTGCCACACCCTGGCCTGATTACTGCCAGACCTGTTGAATCAATAAATCACTTAAATAGAAGCTGTCTGACAAAGTGAAGCACTAAAAGATCTCAAAAAGCAACACATCATGCTGCAATCTAAGGAGATTGAAGAACAGATGAAAAACAAAATAATTGATTTGTATCAGTCTGGATAGTGTCACAAAGCCATTTCTAAGGCTTTGGAATTCCAGTGAACCACAGTGAGAGCCATTATCCGCAAATGGAGAAAACTTGGAACAGTGGTGAACCTTTGCAGGAGTGGCCGGCCTACCAAAATTACTCCAAGAGCACAACGATGACTTTTATAGGAGGTCATAAAGAATCCAGTACAACATCTAAAGAAATGCTGGCCTTACTTGGCTCAGTTAGGCTACTTTAACACTGAGGAGTTTTTGAAGCGGTTTCTTGTTAAAAAAAAAAGCGCCTAAAAAGCTCAAGAAAAATGCTTCCCTATGTATGTCTCTGTATGCCTATGTATGTTTTCACATTGGGGCGTTGCGCTTTGGTTGCGGTGTAAAAACGCCTGCTTGCAGCATCTTTGGAGCATGTTTGTTCAGTTAAAAAAACCCAAAAACGCCTCTTCTCATTGAAATCAATGGAAAACGCCTGAAAATTGTCTGAATAGCTCTTCAAAAATGCCTGAAAAAGTGCCTCAAAAATGCAAGTGCAGTTTTTAACTCGTGTCCTTTAAAAACGCTCAGAAAGCATGGCAAAAGCTTGGTAAAAACACATATGCATTTTTGCGTTGGAGAAAGCTGTCTTAAGGTCGGTGTTCATGTTTCAACAATAAGAAAGAGACTGGGTAAAACTGAATCTATGGGAGAGTTCCAAGGTGAAAGCCACTGCTGACCATAAAGAACACAAAGCCTCGTCTCACATTTGCCAAAAAACATCTTGATTATCACCAAGATTTCTGGGCAAATATTATGTGGTTTGATGAGACAAAAGCTGAACTTTTTGGAAGGTGTGCGTCCCGTTACATTCATAAAAAGAACATCATACCAACAGTCAAATGTGGTGGTAGTGTGATGGTCTGGGGCTGCTTTGCAGCTTCAGGACCTGGACCACTTGCCATCATTGATAGAACTATGAATTCTGCGCTCTACCAGAAAATCCTAATGAAGAATGTCCAGCCATGCAGCAGGACAATGATCCGAAACTCACCAGCAAGTCCACCTCTGAATGGTTAAAAAAACAAAATGAAGGTTTTGGAGTGGCCTAGTCAAAACACGAACAAAAATCCGATTGAGACTCTGGCATGACCTTAAACTGGCCATTCATGCTTGAAAACCCTCCAGTGTGGCTGAATTAAAACAATGCTGCAAAGAAGAGTAGACCAAAATTCCTCCACAGCAATGTAAAAGACTCATTGCCAGTTATCACAAATGCTTGATTGCAGCTGTTGCTGCCAAGGGTCACACAACCAGTTATTAGGTTTAGGGGGGGGGGCAATTACATTTTCACATTGGGCCAGGCAGGTTTGGACAGCTTTTTCCCTTAATAAATGAAATCATCATTTAAAAACTGCATTTTGTATTTACGTGGGTTATCTTTGTGTAATAATAAAATGTGTTTGATGATCTGAATCATTTAAGTGTGCCAAATATGCAAAAAAATTAAAAATTGGGAAGGGGGAAAATACTTTCACAGCAATGCATATGTATTATAAATACCATTTTGTCCTTTTTTTTAATGGGAGATCACATGACGTCTTTTCTCAGCTGCATAAGGAGTTTAGAGAGGTGGGTGCATGCGGGTATGTCAGCAGAGAAACAGCAGTACACTGATATTCCGAGTGAAGAGCTGTGGCCATTGGAGGACATGCAGGCTGTGATCCCAGCACAGACACAAAACTGACCACGCTAGGATGGATGTGTTCTCATGCCTAGTGTGATCAGTTTAAAGTAGAACTATAGGCATTTTTTTTTTCACTTTGGATTGAGTAATTGAGGGCTTTAACCTCTATCAGTTTTTTTTTACCATCTGTGTCCAGTGGAGGAGATTTACCTTCACTTCCTATCCCATAGCTGAATCAGGAAGCAAGGAAAATCCCTGCAAATTAAGGGAATCCCTTGGAGCTCCCTAGGTCACCAGAACTAGTGTCCCCATTAAAAAATTACCCATTACTTTTCTAGGGACAAATCTAAATTTGGGGTTTTCTTTTACCTTCACTTTCCATGATAATGGTAAACAGGACAAATAGAGAGGGTGGATCTCCTTAACAGGGCACAGACAGCAATAAAAATCTAATCCATCTAAGGAAATGACGGGCACAAGGCGGTTCTCTCATTCTGGGAGGATGACATATGACATCCTCCCACTTTAACCACGCGCCCCGGGGGCGTGCAGCATGGCAATCGGTGGTGCGCTGTGTCCCCGGGACACAGCGGATCACTGATCAACGAGAAGAGCCAAAGACATTGGCTCTGTCATGTGATCAGCTGTGTCCAATCACAGCTGATCGCATGTAAATAAGGAAATGACGGTTATCGGCATTTCTCTCCTCACGAGCTGTCACGCTGATAGCTCGTGAGGAGAGCCGATAATCGGTGTAGCCCCATCAGTGCCAGCTGTCAGTGTCCATCGATGCCACCTGTCAGTGCTCATCAATGCCACCTGCCAGTGCACATCAGTGCCACATATCAGTGCCCATCTGAGCTGCCTTTCAGTGCCACCTATCAGTGCTGCCAGTCAGTGCCGCCTATCAGTGCTGCCAATCAGTGCCACCTATCAGTGCCAGTTAGTGCCACCTATTAGTGCCGTCAGTGCTGCCTATCAGTGCCATATATGAGTGCTGCCTTCCAGTGCCACCTACCAGTGCCTCCTCATCGGTGCCGCCTATCAGTGCCCATCAGTGCAGCCTATCAGTGCCCATCACTGCAGCCTCATTAGCGCACATCAGTGAAGGAGAAAAATCACTTATTTACAAAATTTTATAACAGAAACTAAGGCGCCATACATTATCATCTGCAGATTTTCTGCCCAATTTCCTTTAGATTTACCTTCAACTAAATGCACTTATTGGATACAACTGAAAGTGTTGTTTAGGTTTGTCCTCCTATTAATGGTTTTTGGTAAATCTAAACCAAAAATCTGCAGATAAACTAAAGAGCCTTAAAACTATTTTTTTTCAAAATTTTCAGTTGTTTATGGTTTGTTTAGCAAAACATAAAAAAACCCAGAGGTGATTAAATACCACCAAAAGAAAGCTCTGTCTGTCTCAAAAAAAGATACAAATTTCATATGGATACAGTGTTGCATGACCGCGCAATTGTCATTCAAAGTGCGACAGCGCTGAAAGCTGAAAATTGGCATGGGCAGGAAGGTGGTATAAGTGCCCAGTAGGCAAGTGGTTAAAATAGGAAAGCAGGGAGACTGGCAGGACCACCAGGTATTTCACAAAAAGGAAGCAATTCAAAGAGAACAGGATACTTTATACCACAAGTACATAGTACAACAGACACATATCAG